AAAATGTATCTCACCTATTGGCTTCACCTAATGCAGTCATGACTCTCCTTAGAGCCACCGAGTGCCGCCTCACACATAATCCTGAACAATTGCTAATTTACAATGAAGAAATGGACAAGCTAGTCAGATCAGGTTATGCAGTGAAAATCAGTCCAGAAGAAGTAAACAACTCTGACGAGTCATGGTTCCTGCCACACCACCTCGTTTTCCACAATAATAAATCCAGAGTTGTTTTTAACTGTTCCTTTGTGCATCAACAGGCCTGCCTTAATAAGAACCTCATGCCAGGCCCGACTCTCTGTTCTTCACTCCTTGCAGTGCTTCTGCGTTTCAGGGAATATACTGTGGCCATCAACGGTGATATTCGAGGCATGTTCCATCAAGTGAGGCTCCTCCCACAAGATCAACCACTGCTTCGTTTCCTGTGGAGAGATGGAGACAGAGAGCGCAGTCCCGATGTCTACGAGTGCCGTGTGTTACCCTTTGGTACGACATGCAGCCCATGTTGTGCTATATATGCACTACAGCGCCACGTCCAGGACTACAGTGAGGGTATTGAGGATATCGTCAATACAGTGCTGCAATCTATGTATGTGGACAACTGCTTGCAGTCATTGCCCTCTCCAGAGCAGGCCAAACAGCTCATTGACAGGCTCAGAGCTCTCCTTGCCCAGGGAGGCTTTGACATGCGTCAGTGGTCTTCCAATGTACCTGATGTCGTCTCTCATCTGCCAGCTGAAGCAAAGTCTGCCACCTGTGAGTTATGGCTCAAAGCTCATAAAGAAGACCCTCTCGAGTCTACTCTGGGCCTTCTGTGGAACTGCAGCACAGACACACTCAGTTACAGACATAAAACTATCCCTCCTGCTCAACCCACTCTGAGGTATGTGTACCGTGTGCTGGCCAGCCAATATGACCCACTCGGCTTTCTTATTCCCTACACAACCCGTGCTAAGGTGCTGGTTCAAGCGCTGTGGAAGAAAGAACGAGACTGGGATGAGCCAATCACAGATGAGCACCTTCCGGTGTGGCAGGCATGGGAGAGTGAACTACCTCAACTGCAGCATGTGACAATACCCTGATGTTACCTCTCAAATATCCCAGCTGACACGCCACTGGAGTTGCACATCTTCACAGACGCCTCAGAGAGAGCATATGGTGCAGTTGCATATTTGAGGGCGAAGCATGACGTTACAGGTGCAGTGCAAGTGTCCTCTGTACTGGCCAGGTCCAGAGTAGCCCCAAAGAAGCAGCTCTCCATTCCTCGATTGGAACTGTGTGCCGCTCTGGCTGGTGCTCAGTTAGCAAAGGTCATTCAAACAGAACTAACACTGCCATTGAAAACTACAACACTGTGCAGATTCAACTACTGTCCTCCATTGGATCCAGTCAGAGTCACAGCAGTACAAAGTGTTTGTAGGGACTCGTGTTGCTGAAATTCAGGAGCTGGTGGGAGCAGACAACTGGCGCTATGTTCCAACCAATGACAATGCTGCTGATGTCACGCGTGGCAAACATCTTAGTGACTTGGCAAAACCCAGCCGCTGGACCTGTGGGCCTTGTTTCCTGTATCAGCCGCACAGGGAATGGCCAGTTAAGCCCACTATGGCCTCTGTTTCACCAGAAGAGAGCCGAGATGTGACCTTTTGTGGTCTTGTGACGGCCACGCCCACATCTCGAGACCCAACTCAATATAACTCCTGGTCTGAACTGGTCCAAGCGACATAGTGGGCGGCTGCTCCTCCAATGACTGCCTCTGACCGCATTGAGACTGAAGTTGCAGTTCTCAGACGAGCGCAGTAGGAGAGCTTCGCTTCAGAGGTCGCTGCTCTGCAGGGAGGGTAAGCCACTCAGTAATAACAGTCGTCTGCTTTCTCTTTGCCCAGAATATGACAGTGTGGTGGGCTTGGTGCGTGTTGGCGGTCGGCTGAGGAAGGTAGAAGGCTCTCATCCGCTACCCGGCTGCTGATACAACACTACGACACCGAGCTGCTGCACCCTGGTCCCGAACGTGTTTTTGCAGAAGTAAGGCGGACATATTGGATCCTCCGTGGGCGCCAAGCTGTAAAGAAGCACCAATGCAGCTGTGCAGAGTGCCAAAGATGGCGCAACAAACCCACTGTACCACGTATGGCAGACCTTCCAGATGCACGTCTTCGCTTACATAAACCTCCTTACTGGTCCACAGGAATCGACTGTTTTGGACCATATGCCGTCAAAATAGGTCGCAGACAACTCAACTCAAAACCGCTTGGATATGCCACTTCAGACATTGCAGACCCAGACCCCATTACTCCTAACCTTTTGATGGGGCGGCGGGATGCCTCTCTGCCGCAAGCCATCTATGCCTGTAATGACTTGATTGGACGCTGTTGTTGGAAAAACAGCCAGGTGTTAGCCGATCATTTCTGGACCCAGTTCACAAGGAACTACCTGCCTAACCTTCACCAGAGGAAGAAATGGCAAACTCACACGCCGGACCTCACCACTGATCAGGTGGTCATGGTTGTGGATCAACAACTGCCCAGAGCACGTTGGCCCATCGGTCAGGTTACTAAGGTGATCCCAAGTGACGATGGTCGAATCCGCTCTGCCGAGGTGGACATTAAAGGGACTACTTACACTAGGCCGGTAACCAGACTCATCTCACTGCCCAAGATGCCAGAGGACTGATGCCAGACCGCAGGGACATTTGTGAATTATTTTCAAAGTCGCTTCGGACTTCGGGGGCGGCTGTTCAAATTTCCCTGCTTCAATGACACTGTCCCTTTAAGAACAGTTTGCCCCTCACTGACGTGCGCACAGGAGTCCAGGTGGGCAGTCTGCTGAAGGAGGGCAACGAGTGAAGAGCGTGCGCTCTCTTAGCTTTCTCACATCGTGTTGTTGTGCGTTTAATGACTATGTGAGTATGTCCACACCAGTATATTGTGTAGTCCTGTCTTTAGCTTGCATTGTGTACTAAGCAGCATAAGTTTGTAGTTCATTTTAATCTCTTTGGAAACTTTCCTGCATGATTGCCATTAACCATGCGGTCCACTCAGTGCCTTACGTCATGTAGCACACTTTAGCGCCCTCTGGTGGACATACTTTGTAATAACATTGAAATGGCTCAGGATACAGTTTTAAAGTGCAACAATGATAATTATACATTTGATGTTGTGTATTACGTTGTTTATAGTGTTTGATTTTATTCATATCAACATTGTTAATGTTTATGCCTGTTGTGGTGTACTTTGTAAGCTTTATGCTAATTCCGATGTTACATTTGTGTGTTCACAGATAACCACACACACACGCTCTTGTTTCATGCATCCATCCCAACCTGTTCAAGCTGCAATAAACGTTTCATTCTACTACTCTGGATCTGCTGCAGTCTTTCTTGCCGAAGACTTAGGCCAGACTTTTGGACCCCAGCATTCAAATACAATATAATCGTTTACAGTGCTCCTTGAGATGTTTAAAGCTTGGGAAATCTTTTTGTATCCAAATCCGGCTTTAAAACAATCCTCTTCACCGTACCCAGGTAGGGGCAAACCAGGTGCTAGGCCAAGGGCCGCCCGGAGGTAGCAGTGGTTCAGGGTAACCTCATCCTGTCCCTTAGCTCAAGAACTCCACTGCCGGTGTAACGCCAAGATACACTGGCTTGAAGAGATGCACTGCCTCAGCTGTTTATGATGTAATGCAAACCTGCGCATGCGCGTCTCACGGCAACCGAAGCATACCAAGATGGCGGACCGTGAATTGCTTTAAAAGTTGAAATACGAACGAATTAAAGGAATAGTTCACCGTTTTTACATACTGACATATGTTCTTACCTTACCTTAGACTAGTTAATACGTACCTGTGTGATCTTTGTCCGTGCGCTCTGTCATGCAAACGGAGCAAAAACGGGAGCACAACCGCAGCCTCCTCTGTATACTGTGTAGCACCAAAAGGTAGCTCCCGCTAGAAGCTACCAAACTCTTCCAAGTGTTCCCTATTAAATGTATATAGTTACGTGACGTGTTACACTGCAAAGTATAGTAACACAGAAATGTAACTGTCGATTTTCTCAGCGGATAAAACGGGTACTATATTGTGAGGCGTAGTAATCTGAGTAGCGCTACGTCCGCGCACTAACTTCTCTCCGGAGACTTCTCTCTCGCTCACTTCCGTCAATAGAAGCAGCGTGACTTGTACACACAGTAGAAGCAGAGACTTATCGGATAGCTAGCTTGAGGACAGTTGAGGCAGCATCAAGTTTTAGAACGAAAACGTGTGAAAAATGCCTTTTATATGCATCGTGCCGGGTTGTGATCGCAAGAGGAAAGCATATAGTGTAGTAATGTTTCATAGATTTCCAAGTCACCCCGAACGACGAAAAAAATGGTTCGATGCTTTGGAGATGGATCAAACAAACCTTGAATATTTGAAGGATTGGCGTGTTTGCTCGGAACATTTTAAAGAGGAGGACGTTACCTCGTCTGGTTTACGCCTAAAGAAATCAGCCACACCGACGACTTTGAGACAACGTATACAACAAAGAACATCATCATCAGACGCAGTAAGTGTCCTTATATTTTTTGGTTGGAAGTGGCAATAACTTTATCTAAACGTTACTTGAGCGGAGTAAAATCCGTTTAGCACTTACTATAACTTCACTGTGAAAGTAATGCTCTTGTGAGACGTGCTGAAAGAAATTACCGATTGATTTGCATGACGTCTGAGCTCATAAATAGCAAAGAAGTATCCTAACACACCATTTCGGTGTCACCAATACACAAACCTTCTCTGCCTACACTAATGGTTTGGGGGAGGGGTACGTTTATCAGAGGTGAAGCACTGATTACACTACTGTCCGTCTGTAAATCAGATGAATCTAATGTAATGTTCTGTAACACTACTTTCTTACTGTGATGGTTGGAAAAGCTGTCAATTGTGCTAGTGCCTATTTTTGCGTTATAATTAATCTTGGGATTGTAACATTTGTCTGAATTGTGTTAATTGTAACACAGGTCAACATGACAGACTTACTGCAAGATCTGCCCGAAACAGATGAGACCCTTTTTGAGAGTGTTCCTCATTCAACTCCCCAGAAGCACAAAGCTGATGAGCCTACAGCTACATTCAAAGTGCCCTTTGCTGTAAAGCTAGCCAGTCCCTCACCTACCAAACCAGCGGTTCTCCTGGCTCCCACATGGACAAAGCTATGGGTAGGCTAATGAATCTAAAATGTTCACATCACGGTATGATTCCACATTTGAATTTACTAGAAAACTGTTTTGTGTATAGAACACTACATCTTCATCTATGATGATCACCTTATGTAGTCCACGAAAAAGTCTAATATATGCGGTAAGTGACCTCTATTGAACTCCTGTGTTTGCTATTGATGATCCATCATGCAAAATATGAGTGGGTGAGTGAAAACATACTGTCGTGCTTTAAAGTTTACATATTATTTTTATAATTTGTAGCAGTTTTATTTTTCCACTCATAGTGTTTTGTGCGAAGCCATTTATACAACTATTTTTTTTATATATAAAAAAACAGCAAAAAAGATCCTAATCTTTATTTTACACACCCCAGTTCTGTGTATTTCCCCCTTTAGCATCAATGACAGCTTGGAGTCATTTGTGGTAGTTGTGGAGAAGGTTATGTATATTTATTCAAAAGCTAAATTGGTGCATTCTTATTGATCTTACACTTTGGATCAGGGTCATCTGGGATCTTTTCTTTTCATATTTATATAAGAAGTGCACATTCAGTTGTTTTATAAATTTCTTCACACAAACCACTAGCTATTAGTGATTAACCAAAAAATAATTTTAGTAAATTACAATTTTCTTTACACATTTGTTTTTAAATCCTAACATTATTCAGCCAGGCAATGTAAACTTTCAAGCACCACTGTATGTGTTGGAAAAGGATTGTGTTGGGATGAGTGTAAGTGTGGATTCATATCAATGCCATGATATGCATAAAGATAGACTGTTTGGTGAGTACTTAGTACTCTCGTTTGGATTTGTGTGGTAAGCTTATATGGCTGTTGGTATGGCATGCCCTTACTGGTTTACAAACTCGGCCTGTAACCTTGTAACTGTAACTATATTTATTGGCCTAATAATATCATGACTTATGCAATAAAAAAGGATAATAATCAAGATCAATTCTATGTTGCCCTAGTGTCGATGCATATTTTTATTTGTCTAAAACAGGAACCAGACCCCATTGGAGCAACTGCGATGGATATGAGCGCAACATCTGTGTTTGATGTCAGCATGACCTCAGAGACAGCTCTTGATCCTGCAGAAATAAGCTTTGTGCCAGATTCCAGCCCCTCCACCTCCACCACAGGAAGTTCATCAAGCCTCTCTAGCCAACCTAGAGGAATCCAGGAGAGGAAGTGGATAGTGAATGAGTCTAAACTCTTGGAGCTATTTTCGAATTGCCCAAAGTGTGGTTCTGCGATGTGTGACGTAAATCAAAATATAACACAGTTTGGCAGTAGAATATATATAAATTGGCAATGCAACAATGGCCATATGGGACAATGGGAATCCTGTCCCAATGTACGTGGAATGGCAGAAATTAACCTCCTCGCAACAGCTGCCACTGTCTTTACTGGTTCAACATATACCGACATCTCAGACTGGGCTGGACTTTTCAACTTGCAGTTGCCCCAGAAAACGACTTTCTATAACATACAGTCAAGTTACCTTCTCCCAGTGATCGAAGAAGCCTACATACAACAGGAGGACATAATCAAAGCAAGAATAATTTTACAATCCGAGGAAGGTGACGGAGTGCAACTATGTGGTGATGGCAGAAGTGACAGTCCTGGGCATTCCAGCAAATACACCACATATTCTTTCATGGATGACTCCACAAAACAGATTGTTGGGTTTGAGTTGATGCAGGTAACATTTCCTATTATCTTCCAATAATCAAAGCTTGATTCAATACTATATTGTAGATGTCATCATCCATACATTTGTGCTCTATAGGTGTCTCAGGCCTCAAGTTCTATCGCAATGGAACCATTGTGCTTCAAGAAAGCCCTGGATGAGATCCTGAATGAGGGCATAGACGTAAAAGTGGTCACCACAGACCGGCATCCATCAATACGCAAAATAATGAGAGAGGAATATCCTAATATAATACATCAGTTTGATCCCTGGCATGTGGCCAAAGGTTAGTTGACTGTTCTTCTTTATTGTCTTGTTGTTCTCAAATAACCCTATTTTGGTACTGATAAAGAAAAAAAAATTGTGCAAGATGGATGCAAACGAAACTGAAACATCACAATGTGTCTTATATGGTCGAAATAAATGGTTGGCCCCTAGGCTATGCAATGAAAAGAGAAACGCTGGTATAACGTTTACCACAGGAAATAAGTGAACAACCGTATTTATGATTTTCTTACATTTTTCAGGATTTAAAAAGAAATTGAAAGCGGCATCCAAAAGGAGGGATTGCAGTGATCTTGCTCCTTGGGTCCGGAGTGAAAGCAACCACATGTGGTGGAGCTGTTGCACCGCCTAAGGAGATGAAAAGGTACTCAAGTATAAAGACACCGCTCAAGTGATTTTCTAGATATAATGCACAGCAACCCACAGCTCTTCAACATGAAAGAAAACTGTATTGTATTACAGGTATTTAAAAGTGTGCCTCTATTGTCATGTTCTCAGGAGCTGCTCAGACGATGGATGTCTCTCCAACACCATATCACTGGGGTCCATCGCTGGGAAGAGAATGGCACGGAATACAAATGTTTCCACCAAGATTTGTCTGCACAGGAACAGAGAACTAAGAGGTGGCTAAAAGTGAATTCCCCTTCCTTCCAAGCCCTGAAGTCAATGATGACGGACACACGTTTGCTGAAAGACCTACAACAGATGACACTATTCAAACATACAGGTATGTGTATCAAAGATTTGGACAAAAATAATAATGATATGGCTAAAGTCATGCATGTGTCCGTGAGAGTAGGTTATGTTACACCGGTCATGGCACAGAAGTAGTAAAAAACACAACTTTTCTTGCTATTTCTTTCCACTTCAAAGCGTTTGTTTTATTTTTCAGGACAACTTGAGGTGTTTCACAATGCTCTATTGAAGTACTGTCCAAAGCGACTTCATTTTCACTACCCATCAATGAAGGCACGCACTATGCTTGCTATCATGGATCACAATGAGAATCACTACGCAGATCGGGAACAAGCAACAACAGCAGCTGGTGGGTACTACATGACATGTAACATATAACATGTATGGAAGTAACATACATGTTACTTCCATATATGAACATGATATTCATATATGGCACAGACATAAATAACTAGTGTTATTTTCACTTCTAAAAAGATGCTTGAAAGACACAGTCCTAACAAATGTGTGACAACGTCTTGAAAGTAGAAATAAACGTTCTATATTTTGAGCATGTTCGCTTACAATGTTTATTTATTCCAGGCCATCCAAGAACTAATGTTGCCTTCAAAAAACACTCACAGCAATGGATTTCTAAACCTATATATACGGAGACAACACAAATGTTTAGAGACAACCTCATGGAAAGCGTGCTCAAAAGAAGAGTTGACCCTTCAGTAAAATTCAAAGACACATCATCCCATATCCAAGTACCTCGCCTGTCTGCAAACATTGCATCGGTACCAAAGCCCAATAAAGAGGAGGCCGTACAGTCACACACCTCAAGATTTAAAGGTCCATCACAGAAAGACTAAGTTGGTTGTCGCCTACAACCTACCCCGTAGAAAAAAGCCGGAACGGTGTTGTACTTGTTTTTATGTATCAGAATGTGTGCGTGTGTTTGCTTCTATGCTCTACGCTTGTTGTGTTTATCTCCCCGTTATCAGACTTTTTGCTGCACAGCTTTGTTTTCCATGGTTACTGTAAACGTTTTCAATTGTTTTTGTTTGTTGATAAATTTTTAAATTATTTTCAATTTCTTTGGACCTTCAGCACCAAATATCCCTTTATGCATTTGCTGACCCCTGACATACATGTAGAAGGCAGTGTATGTATTGTGTAAGTGTAGGTATTCTGTTTTTATATTCAAATAGATTTGTCTTATAGTACCAAAAATGTGACAGGTCACTTGTTTTCCATGCAGACGTTCACAATTTTTACAACGCAATTGAAGATAAAGATGAATGAATAACTATCAGACATACTCTAAAGGTTGTATACATTTTCACATATAAAGCTTTAATTTTTTTTTAAATGTAGGTAGTACATTTCTGTCAATGGAACATAATGAGCATACTCTGGGTAGAAATGTACAATGATAGTGGGAAATCAATAATACAAAAGAAAAACATTTATTTTATGGCACCTTTCAAGTCACTAAAGGACAACTTACAATTAACACAAAATACAAATGTACATAAAATCACAGTGCATGTGCAGATTTGAAAAGGAAGGTCTTGAGTTGAGTTTTAAAATTTAAAAGTCCAGTTGACGGAGGGGTTGTTGAAAGTGTTACAGAGCTTTGGGGCAGAGTAGCTGAAAGCTCTGGCCCCATAGTGACCATTCGTACTGTGGGGATGGAGAGGAAACGAGACGGAGTGTGAAGGTGAAGCAGGCCAGATATTTATGGAGGAGCTAGAACACAAGTAGCTTTGTATTCTGGCACAAGCAGCAGTCCAATTGTCCCACAGATGTCCATAGCATGCAAAGTGCCCAGCACATTCCATCAAGTTATTAGGCCTACATGTCCATTGCTTCCTCTACGTCTTTGTATCCAATATATACACTGGACTCGACGTATATCTTTTCCTTATAGCCCAGACCACACAGGATGGCAATGGTTTGCGATGGCCTCTGCCCAAGGTTTCACCCTGTAGGGCCCATTCCAGGACGATCCGGTAGGACACCAACCTCTTCTGACTCAGAAAACAGGGATATGCTAAGTATATGCACTGATAATAAATGACAACATGGTAAATGGCATATTTCAATGGTTTCAGTTAGCACTTACTCTGGGGATAGCTGGCCATCGGGTCCACTTGGTGTGGGTCTTTTTTTCCAATTGACTTTGTCCAGGCGAAAGAAAAAGTCGACTACTGCCTCATGAATCATTGCTTGAAACGCATCTGTCGCCGTGACACAAGTCCTTTGTCCATTCTCTGCCAGGTGAACAATGGCGCCCGTGGCCGATGGTAACACCTGGTCCCACTCGGAGCAACACAGACTCTCAATTTCATTCGGCATCTTTTCGCAACAGTCACATTTGCACCACCAATTGCTATTTGCCCGTGTTCTTTCTTCGATGGCTTCAGTCTGCAGTCGTTCTTGTCTTTGTTCCCTCTCATGGTCCATCTGGGCTAGTTCCTCCTCTGTATATTCAGGCTCAAAAAGATATGCCTCTGGATCCGCTGTAAACCATTCTTCCTCATCCACAAAGTCCGCCATCGTAAATTATTCTTTTTAGTTTTCGTTCTAAAACTTGATGCTGCCTTTTAAGAGTCAAAGTTTTGTGCAAAGTTTAGTTTAAGCAGTCAACTGCGCCTGTGAAACCACAAAGCTAATGTTTTCATAGCAGTCCGCGGCTGCTGACGTAGGCTGATGACGCGTCCTGTGGCAACTCTACACTCTTACACTGGTCTGTCGGGTTGATAATGGAAATAATAAATTTCATTCAATGTATTGTACTGTATTTAATATGATTAACAATAGTGTGTTCAAACAAAATATATAATTAGATTGATTTTTTTCCCCATTTTCCATTATCAACCCGACAGACCAGTAGAGTGGCCACAGGACGCGTCATCAGCCTACGTCAGCAGCCGCGGACTGCTATGAAAACATTAGCTTTGTGGTTTCACAGGCGCAGTTGACTGCTTAAACTAAACTTTGCACGAAACTTTGACTCTTAAAACCCACATGTGACAAAACGGGACCATCAACATCTCGCCTCAAATTGCATTAAAAGTGACATTCGTGTCTTAATTCGTTCGTATTTCAACTTTTAAAGCAATTCACGGTCCGCCATCTTGGTATGCTTCGGCTGCCGTGAGACGCGCATGCGCAGGTTTGCATTACATCATAAACAGCTGAGGCAGTGCATCTCTTCAAGACAGTGTATCTCGGCGTTACACCGGATGTTGTTTATCGTCTTACCCAAGACAAATTGATTTTGAAGATTCATTTTGAGCTTCCTGTAGAAGGCATAATTTGGAAACTGGCCGCTCGAGAACATTCGTCTTGGTTTTTAACCGCACTGAGTGGACAAATCCCTTCTTGTCCGGGAATGTTTCCAGCACTCTACCAAGCATCCATGAACAACGTGGGGCTCCCGGATCAGCAATTACAACCACATCTCCAGACCTTAAGTTTCTTCTTTTGCGATTCCAGGTATGTCTCTCTTGAAGAAGAGGCAGATATTCCTTAACCCAACGTTTCCAAAAGATGTCGGCAAGATATTGCACCTGTTTCCAGCGTCTTTTGGCGTAAATGTCCTGTTCATCGAACACTCCTGGAGGAAGGGATGGCTTGATCTTAAAAATAGGTGATCAATCGTTCTGTGGGAGTGCCAGGTTCTTTGACCACAACATTTGTAAACGCTTCCCTTTTAACTTTTAGATCATCCACATCAATGGAGTCCAATATTGGCTCGGGCCACTCTTGCTCCCCTGTGACGAGAAACTCTGGACCCTCAATCCATCTGTGATTGTGCAACAGCTCTTCAATCTTAATGCCCCTTGAAGCCAAATCAGCAGGGTTATCTGTGGTGTTGATATAACGCCACTGAAAAACCTCAGTAGCTTCTCTAATAGTTGAAATTCGGTTGGCCACAAATGTATGGTAACGTTTGTTTTCATTCCGAACGTACCTTAGAACTGAGGTACTATCTGCCCAAAATATTGATGGACTTAATTGTAGCTCCAATTCTAATTTCAACATCTGGTCCAATCTGACTGCAAGAACAGCAGCGATAAGCTCCAAACGAGGGATAGTAATGCTTTTCAATGGGGTGACTCGTGCTTTCCCATGCAGGAAGGAAACGTGAGTGTGATTCTTCTCATTTTCGACTTTTATGTAACAGACGACACCAAACCCATCCTCACTAGCATCAGAAAAGTGATGCAGTTTCGCAGATTTAAGTGGTCCGAAGGTCTTCGGCTTTATGCACCTTCCTACCTTAACCCTTTAAGCGCCAGTCGCAATATTGCGACAAGCAACATTGCTCACTTAAACAGGCTGTATGTAAAAATGTGGTGCAGAATCTTGTTAATACTTTTCACCAGGGGTTAGTGGACATGTGTGCCTGTAATATGAGCAGCATTTGTGGGTGTGGTTATATTGAAAGTTTTTGAGTAAATAGAGTTTGTAAAACACCTGCGGTGCAGCAGCGTGGAGGCGAAGCAGCAGCGGTAGAGCTGAGAGGAGCGAGAGCAGAGCAAAGGGAGAGAGTGTTTATTTTACTCACAAGGTCTTCAGTACCAGATAAGTACTTGGTCTGGTACTGAAAGTAGCGGGGGTAGACATCCACGGGGAACACGGGAAACGCGGGAGAAGTCGCGGGAGAGCCGCGGGAAAAAAACACATCGCTAATTGCGTTCACTGCCTTTACCAGTGATGATGAGGATGAAGGCAGTTCTTGAGAGAAAATAATCCACAGAAGTGTTGAAGAGCCTGTTGTATGTTGTTGAGACGATCTGACATGTTCTGTGCCCATTCATTTCATCTCTGTTTCTAAACGGTAAATTCTGGAGCCTCATTTCCACTGAGAAACATAGTAAGCTCACCACTTCTTTGAAAGGGAAATATTGAAACCAATTTCAAGATTTCATGACTGTAAACTATAAAGAGTACTGTCTTGATCACTAAAGGTCTTTGAAAATAATACAATTCCATATGGCCGCGAACTAGTGCTAAAACATTATCTATAATCTGGATCAGGGAATTAATTTCTATCCCAAATTCATTTTATACTAAAGATATTTCACGTTGACTGTTTATAGTATTCCCTGATCTCAAATAACTCCCAAGCTACAGCTTTTTGAAGTCTTTATACAATAATTAACATTTTCCAAAATGGCCGCCACCTTGATGACATCACAATATGCAAATTAGATGACGAATCAACTTCCATCCCAAAGTTTGGTTCAAACTGAAGATATTTCTAATTTACAGTATGCCTTTATCTCAAACCATTTTAAAGTTATAGCCTTTTGAAATCTTGAAATCAAAATTGTATATTTTCTTGAAAAAACTCTGGCGCCTAAAGGGTTAAAAGATGAGAGTTTGTGCAAACTGGCCAGCCATTTTGTCCAGCAACGTTTTATGTCGTCTGGTACAACCTCATCCCAGCCACAGCCTCTACGACAGAGTTCTTGAAGAGACCTTTTGGCAGGCAATATGACTGGAGCTAGAAATCCAATGGGGTCGTAGATTGAACTAACAGACAGCACACCTCTTCTTGTAAGGGGCTGTTCCTTCAGTGTCATGTGAAACTTGAAGGTGTCAGTCTCTATGCACCACTCCAGTCCTAGAGCCCTCTCCATTGGAAGTTGATCACGTTCCAAGTCCAAACTTTCCAATTCTTGAGATCGATGCTCACCTTTCATTGCTCGCAAGACCATCCTGCTGTCACTGATCCATTTTGTTAAAGTGAAGCCCCCTTTTTTACAAACTTCTGTCAAGTCTTTGACCAAGGCAACAGCTTTATGCTCAGAAGGGACACTTTTCAAACAATCATCAACATACATGTTGTGCATTATAGTATTGATCACTGCGGAAGGATAGTGGGCAGCATTATCATTTGCGGTTTTTAAAAGAGCAAAGCTTGCGCAACTGGGGGAAGACACAGCTCCAAAGGCGTGAACGTTCATCCTGTACTCTTCAAAATCAAGGTTAAGATCCCCATCTGGCCCCCACAAGAATCAGAAGTAATCCTTGTCCTCCTCTGCCACTTTAACTTGATAAAACATTGCCTCTATGTCCCCCATGAAATCCACAGGCTCCTGGCGAAACCGGATTAGAACGCCAAGCAGAGAGCTTTTCAAGTTTGGGCCCTGCTGATTTAATGACATTCCCTTGTATTCAGCTCCACAGTCGAACACTACACGCAGCTTTCCCTTCTTTGAATGGCGAACTCCATGGTGTGGTACATACTAGGGCTGGGTGATATGGCTGAAAACTATATAGGTGTTTCATATCAGTCGATATCGATATATATCGTTAATAAAAAACAGGAGGAAAAAAAGGCTCAATTAAAATGCCTTTATTTTAAATACAACTTTTAAACTTGAACCCCAAGTTAACATTGGGTAAAACAGTCAAATAAATACAAATACTGGTATAAAAATAGACATTAAATAATGCTTAATATAAATAAAATGTGCAAGGTATTTTGGAATTAAGACATGAGTCTACAACTTAGGCTTTAAGGCCATACTGGTAACCATAAACACAAATAAATAAGTCACATTTAACAGTATTGTAAACATCTGTGACAAAAAAAAAACCTGTCCCCGCTTCAGCATATAAAAAAAAAAATTCAAGTAACAACTCAAATACTGCAAGTCACTGAACAATTGCCTCACTTCAGATTTTGTGCAAGGAAAACAAGCTGATTGACCATCTCAGGTTTTAAGGCAGCCCTGGTGCATGTCACAATATTACCACCAGAACTAAACATTTGTTCAGAGGGGCTGCTGGTGGCTGGAATGCACAAGTATTTTTTGGCAAGCTGCGACATTCTGGGAAACTTGCGCTCATGTACCTTCCACCACTGAAGGGGGTCAGACTCACTGTCTGCATCCAGGCATTTTGAGTAGCTTTTCATCTCCGTTTCTACTTTTTGCCTTTCAGTGAGAGGTACGGCATCTTGTTCATCATCTTGACTTGGTATTTTGAAGAAACTGCCCAATGATTTTTGCTGTTTCTTCACACCCAGTGGGAGAGATGTGGCACCTTCTCCTTCTGCCCCCTGGCCTCCTGTTCCCTCTGGAATTTCAGCTTCTGATTTGCTGGGGTCTTCGTCCATCATTTCACAGTACTCGTTCTTTAATGGCCTCTACTTTTTCTGGGCTGATGTACCGTGTCTTAAATCTAGGATCCACAAAGGCAGCCATGTTGAGGAGATCCTCCGTTTCTGAGCCAGCATATTTTTCATCCAGATACGACATGATAGTGGTCTTAAGGTCTTTCGTTAGTTGAGTGTCTTGGTCTTTTCCCTTCAGCAAATCTGTGCGGAACAGGTGGAGCACTGGCTTTACATAGGAGACCGTCACGTATAATTCCCCAGAGAGGGAGTCAGTGAACTCCAGAAGAGGACTTAACACCTCATGCAGTGACTCGAGAACACCAATGTCCTGCCATGTAGGGATCAGGTGCCTGTTTTTTTTGTCTGATGACAACACTTCAGTGATAGCCTTTTGTTGTTCTAGGAACCTTTCCACCATCTTCTGTCTTGAGCCCCACCGAGTTGGTGACTCTGTAACCACCTGGTGCTTTGGTAGATCGAGACGTTCCTGACTTTTAAAGCTCCCTCTTTTTCTTCCACGAGTAGGAGAAGGCAGAGACCACCTTCTTACAAACTCCAATAGCCCTTTCCACTCTTTTGTCCTTCCCTGTGACACCTGCAGAAATACAAAAGTAAATAAAAAAATACAATATAAAAATAATATATATAACTGGTGCAAATATTCTAATGTATAATATATATTATATTATATGAAAACGATAACAAATATAATCATAAATAGGAAAAATAATAACAAAACACCTTTTATTATGTTCTATTAGCTAATTAAATCAACATAATCATCCGAGAATTCTACTCACCAATTGCTGAGTGCAAACGATGGCCAAAGCACTGCAGCCGTGTCCAATTATTTAGTGAAGTTGCCTTCACTATATTTGCCCCGCTGTCTGTGGTGATGCAAACCATTTTTTCCTCAGCCAGATTCCAGGACGACAGTGCCTCCTTCAAGCCCTCTGATATTATCTCCCCTGTGTGGTCTTCGGGGAAATATGCAGTTTCTAGGCATCTTGTTTTCAGAACCCAGTCATTATTGATGAAATGAATTGTCAAGCTGAGATATGGCTCGCATGTACGACTTGACCACATGTCGGAGGTTGTCGCGAAGTGCTTTACTGACCTTATCTCCCTTTCCACGGAATCCTTGCACATTGTGTAAAGCTTAGGAATAGCGGTCTTGGAAAATTATTTTCGGCCAGGTAGAATGTAACGGGGGTCGAGCACGTGAATAAGATTCTTGTATCTTGGTCCCGGGGAGTCTTGGTCCCGGGGAGTCTTGGTCCCGGGGAGTCCTGGTCCCGCGTCCTCGCTCTGGTCCCGGGGAGTCCTGGTCCCGGGGAGTCCTGGTCCCGGGGAGTCCTGGTCCCGGGGAGTCCTGGTCCCGGGGAGTCCTGGTCCCGGCGAGTCCTGGTCCCGGGGAGTCCTGGTCCCGGGGAGTCCTGGTCCCGGGGAGTCCTGGTCCCGGAGAGTCCTGGTCCCGCGTCCTCGCTCTGGTCCCGGGGAGTCCTGGTCCCGGGGAGTCCTGGTCCCGCATCCTCGCTCTGGTCCCGGGGAGTCCTGGTCCCGGAGAGTCCTGGTCCCGCGTCCTCGCTCTGGTCCCGGGGAGTCCTGGTCCCGGGGAGTCCTGGTCCCGGGGAGTCCTGGTCCCGCGTCCTCGCTCTGGTCCCGGGGAGTCCTGGTCCCGTGTCCTCGCTCTGGTCCCGGGGAGTCCTGGTCCCGCAGAGTCCTGGTCCCGCAGAGTCCTGGTCCCGCAGAGTCCTGGTCCCGCAGAGTCCTGGTCCCGGGGAGTCCTGGTCCCGCAGAGTCCTGGTCCCGGAGAGTCCTGGTCCCGGGGAGTCCTGGTCCCGCGGAGTCCTGGTCCCGTGGAGTCCTGGTCCCGCGGAGTCCTGGTCCCGCGTCCTCGCTCTGGTCCCTCAGAGTCCTGGTCCCGGGTCCTTGAGACCTGGTCCCGCAGATTTTCTTAAACCGTACCTTTACATGAAGTTGTCCTTTGACTTAATGTAATGTCCTGTCCCTTGGCTTTGACAGGACGCTACTTGCTACCAGAAATTACCTCTGACGCGTTGTAGATGGTTAAAAAGCGTTTCCAGTTGTTTGTTCAGTTTAAAAAAGATCACATTTTATTTCATAATTGGCTTAAAACGGCCCATTGAATTCATGTAATATAGCGTTAAAATCTTAAAAATCAGTGCACAAAGAACCATCCCAAAACGGTCAAAGGACACTTGCTTCTTCCCGGTAGCATGCTCTGACAGGTCTCATTTGTGCTCATTAAACACCTGCCCTACAGTGTTTCCATACTCCCTCTAGTGGCAAACCCTGAGCTTCCAGTTTGGCTCCAACACACAGGTGCATTCTATTTATCATCATCAGTCATTTAGGACAACATTGGATCATTCAAAGATCCTCACTGAACGTCTGGAGTGAGTTGGCTGCGCTGAAAGTAAAGGGGGCCGAATAATATTGCACGCCCCACTTTTCAGTTTTTTATTTATTAGAAAAGTTTAAATTATCTAATAAATTTCGTTCCACTTCACGATTGTGTAGGAGGAGAAGGCAGAGACCACCTTCTTACAAACTCCAATAGCCCTTTCCACTATTTTGTCCTTCCCTGTGACACCTGCAGAAATACAAAAGTAAATAAAAAAATACAATATAAAAATAATATATATAACTGGTGCAAATATTCTAATGTATAATATTATTATATTATATAAAAACGATAACAAATATAATCATAAATAGGAAAAATAATAACAAAACACCTTTTATTATGTTCTATTAGCTAATTAAATCAACATAATCATCCGAGAATTCTACTCACCAATTGCTGAGTGCAAACGATGGCCAAAGCACTGCAGCCGTGTCCAATTATTTAGTGAAGTTGCCTTCACTATATTTGCCCCGCTGTCTGTGGTGATGCAAACCATTTTTTCCTCAGCCAGATTCCAGGACGACAGTGCCTCCTTCAAGCCCTCTGATATTATCTCCCCTGTGTGGTCTTCGGGGAAATATGCAGTTTCTAGGCATCTTGTTTTCAGAACCCAGTCATTATTGATGAAATGAATTGTCAAGCTGAGATATGGCTCGCATGTACGACTTGACCACATGTCGGAGGCTGTCGCGAAGTGCTTTACTGACCTTATCTCCCTTTCCACGGAATCCTTGCACATTGTGTAAAGCTTAGGAATAGCGGTCTTGGAAAAGTATTTTCGGCCAGGTAGAATGTAACGGGGGTCGAGCACGTGAATAAGATTCTTGTATCTTGGTCCCGGGGAGTCTTGGTCCCGGGGAGTCCTCGTCCCGCGTCCTCGCTCTGGTCCGCGTCCTCGCTCTGGTCCGCGTCCTCGCTCTGGTCCCGGGGAGTCCTGGTCCCGGGGAGTCCTGGTCCCGCGTCCTCGCTCTGGTCCCGGGGAGTCCTGGTCCCGGGGAGTCCTGGTCCCGGAGAGTCCTGGTCCCGGGGAGTCCTGGTCCCGGGGAGTCCTGGTCCCGGGGAGTCCTGGTCCCGCGTCCTCGCTCTGGTCCCGGGGAGTCCTGGTCTCTGGGAGTCCTGGTCCCGGGGAGTCTTGGTCCCGCGTCCTCGCTCTGGTGCCGGGGAGTCCTGGTCTCGGGGAGTCCTGGTCCCGGAGAGTCCTTGTCCCGGGGAGTCCTTGTCCCGGGGAGTCCTTGTCCCGGGGAGTCCTGGTCCCGGGAAGTCCTGGTCCCGCGTCCTCGCTCTGGTCCCGGGGAGTCCTGGTCCCGGGGAGTCCTGGTCCCGCGTCCTCGCTCTGGTCCCGGGGAGTCCTGGTCCCGGGGAGTCCTTGTCCCGGGGAGTCCTTGTCCCGGGGAGTCCTTGTCCCGGGGAGTCATTGTCCCGGGGAGTCCTGGTCCCGGAATGTCCTGGTCCCGCGTCCTCGCTCTGGTCCCGGGGAGTCCTGGTCCCGGGAAGTCCTGGTCCCGCGTCCTCGCTCTGGTCCCGGGGAGTCCTGGTCCCGGGAAGTCCTGGTCCCGCGTCCTCACTCTGGTCCCGGGGAGTCCTGGTCCCGGGGAGTCCTGGTCCCGGGGAGTCCTGCCCAGGTAGCAAAGTTTCTCTGGCCCACCATCGGGCCATTACCTCACCCATGAATCGGCCCACAGTTGGCTGGGCCGGCGGCCCGTCATCGGTTGAATCAATATTTGCGACTCCCCCTGAATATACCGGCCCAGTATCGGCTGAACTACAGTAACGTGACTCTCATTAAAGATGACGGCCCAGTATCGGCTGAACTACAGTAACGTGACTCTCATTAAAGATGACGGCCCAGTATCGGCTAAACTACAGTAACGTGACTCTCATTAAAGATGACGGCCCAGGATCGGCTGAACTACAGCATAATGGCTTTATTTATATGTCGGCTGAGAATCGGCTGGGCTGTCGGGCGAGTACTGGTAAATAACCTAAACACGCATGTTAGACTTTAAAAAAGGCGCTGAAAACACTGTTTCAAAAACATTTATTTAAATCCCAACAATTGAACAATGTTGCAATAATTAAGGTGAAGGAACATGTACATAGCGTGACCAGATGTCCCGCATTATGCGGGACTGCACAGCATTTCCAACTCAAATCCCGCATCACGCAAATTGGAGCGGTGTCCCGCATTCAACTCAGCTGCTGCACAAACTTAAAGGAGCAATATGTAATATTTGCATGTCAAGTCATTATTAAATGACCCGAATATTTCAAAAGGCGTTATTAAATCATACTCTTTTCGAATTCATCTTTAACTGATAACAGTAGTTCAGCCGAGATATTTGATCATCAAAATTAATTTTACGACCCGTAAAAGTTGTTATTGTTTTGATTTTGATGTCCTACCCTCCGCCGTTTCGCCAATCAGGAAGTGTCATGTAAGTCAGTGATCTAGTTGCCAGAACTCCGCGCGGCTCATTAATCTCAGTGGTAAAATAACATGTGGCGCAGAACTAAAAAAGGTCTTGTTATGACTCTCAAATAATTAATGACAAAACAAAGACTAAAACGAGGATTTATATCGGGATGCCTTTGAACAATTGAGACAGCTGATAAAAGTTTACGTGTGATGCAGAATTTTCTAGTTTGATTGCGTTCTTCACGGTATCTCCGTTCGTGTTAACCGGTGGCCTAGCGATCTAAGCTGCGCGCTTACGATGCAGGAACCCGGGTTCGATCCCGGGCTATGTCTTTTTGTATTTATTGCATGTGATCACATTCTATGACAGATTGCTCTAAAAACGGTAAAAGATGAAGGTCAAGACGTTTTTTTGCAGATTATAGCTTAATTGTAAAAATAATCATTTAAGACCACATGTACCCCAATTAAAATAATGTTAGTCTCTTTTTGATGTGGGACTTTTACATGTTTGTCTAAAAAATAGGGAATAAATAAAATTGAAAGGTGATATCCTCTTGAGCAAACCCTGATGTTGATACGCTGAAGAAATACGTTCCAACATCCATTCTTCCCACTCCTATTTTGGACATCAATTTCTTATTTTTTTTGCATAAACTATGTATAATTACATTACATAATAAAAAAACATGAATCAAAACATTCATTCAGCATTAGCACGGCTGTCATGGCAATGTGAATGGAGACGGACAAACAACTGATAAAATAATTCCCTGTGTTTGCTGCTGGATTTGGTGTGAATCTGGCAACCTGAGTCAGGGAGAGTGGGAGAGGACTACAAAATATTGACTGTGACTGCAGTACCACTTTTGGCCAGATTTTTACATATTGCTCCTTTAATTTTCCTCTTCAGACGCGGATCGGCGGATCCTCCGCGTCTGTGTCATTTTGTCCCCTCTCGCACTCGTCTCCCCGGCAGACTGTGACAGCCAATAGCGCCGCGTTTTGACGTGTTAGGTTGTCTCTGATTGGATATTCTACTCTAAAGCCCGCCTCTCACTCGCTGCAGACCACAGCAGCAGATTCCAATGAGAACTCCGCGAGGGATCAAGACCTGACTATGATGGGGGAAAACTTTCTTTCTCCTTGTTTTACAAATATAATGGAGTTATTGAACTGATGGCTGATGAATGTCTGCTTAGTTTAAGGGCCATTATCAAATTATGGGAAATAACCTGTCCCTGCACTTCCCACCCCTGAAAATTACATATTTTAAAAAAATCAACAATGCAGTGAAACTAAAAAAATATTAAATGAAGCGCCACATGATAAGAGACAGGTAATATCAGATCATATTTTTGCAGTTTTTACTTTTGATTCCACTTTGAATATCCAGAGTATGTTGAAACCCCAGTGTCACCAACCCCATATTCACACCTTTGTGCAGTTAAAAAGTACATTTCCACTATATCTATAAATATTGTTCTTGCCGATTCCAAACAAATAGAGAATAGACTTCAATAATCTGCAGATTATTATATATATTATAGTGCCACCTTGATTGATAACATTTTCTCAAATTAAATAGAAAGAGATACAGACGGATTAATGATAAATGATATTAGTGATCACCTTCCACTTTTTGTATTGTATAAAAAGGGATATTTAAAAAATGAAGAGGAAAACAAGTATTAGTTTAGAAGCATTTACAAGGAGCTATTAGAGCTATATAGAGAGAATTACACAAATAAATAAATAAATAATGAGTTTGCGCGAAAATAATGAAATTTATTCATTTGCCCAATGAAAAAATACTGTAACGTAGGGGTCTAAAACATATTTTAGATAGATAGAACTATTTACATTATTTACATTAATATTGTAACAAAAAACTTATTCACAAACTCAAAAAATTTTTACAGCCCTAATCCCTCCTTAGCAAGCAGCCTTCTCTTTCTACCCCCCTCCCTGTCTGCACTCAGTTGGAGCCATCTTTTAATCTTGTCCTCCACCTCTGCCTCGGTTGTAAACCCTATAATCGGGTTTTTACGCACAGCACCTTGAAAGGAAAAAACAAACAAACAAACAAAAAAACATTTAGGATGAATTACTGTTTTACTATTTAAAATCCGATTTAAAAACAAAACAAAAAACTATCACAAATCAAAAACTCTCAGTAGGAAAGTAAAAAAAAACTATCACCACAAGTGACAATTAAACTTACCGACCACAACCTTGCGCAAATGCAGGGTGGCCAGGGCAGTCTTGCCGTTGACCCCCCTCCAATTCATTTTCTGGGCCAGTGAATGGCTCAGAATTTTTTTTAATATGCGGGAAGTCGTGTCCTGGACGTTGGCGCCCCCGATTGTCCCTAGGTAGTTAGTCTGCAAAAAAAGTAAAATAGTAAATTGCTAAATTCAGGTGAATTTGAAGGCTATCATAAATTTAACCGAAAATATGCTTTCATGCAGTGAGTATTTCAAAACATCCAAAATCTATCAAATAAATGCAGATAGACAAGCAAACTTCCAATGAGACCAGAGTCAATTATGTATGTTTTAGACAAAGAGGGATGAAATAGTATGACTGTCCCATGGTCGGCCACTCCTATTTTTGTGCTTCATTTTGCGCTTAATATTACCAAATAAATAAAAAGCTCACCAGTGAACAGCGGAACTCTGGTGAGCCAAGCTTGTCCTCCATTGCCAACAGCTGCGGGAGGTCTGCAAGTGGCAGGTCAATGGCTTCCTCCAAGCCTGGAGGAGTAGCCTGGTGCTGTAGTAATCTAAGAATGGTGTCGTTTTGCTGCAGTACCATTTCTAATTTAGTTAGGACCTCCTTTAAAATTACTGTAAAAGTAAGTTTGGAACAAAGTTCATTAATATAAAAATCAAATAAACAAAACTGATTAGTAGTAGTCTGTTCAGTGTGGTAACAAAGCGTACCAGAGTGGCTTCCATGAGAGCTTTCTGCAAATACAGAGTTTTATTACATAATATATATATATATATATATATATATATATATAAAGTATTCCCGGGCCTTGTGGGCCTTTCTGTGTGGAGTTTGTTTCTCTCCTTCAAACGCATTTGGGGACTTGTGTCAAGCCAGGCTAATGGTCAGAAACACCTGGCTGGAGGATTCACCTTTTGTACATGTTTTTAGTGGTGGGGTACCCGGAGGAAACCTATGCAGACATGCAAACTCGACAGAAAGGACCCGTTCAGGTGGGAATCAAATAGGTGGTTGATCTATAGGGTTAGGTGAATCTTACCTGGTTCTGGTTGTGGAGCTTGTGGAGACCAGTGGTAATGCTGGTATCCTGGCAGTGCTAAATTGTTTTTTTACAGAGTTTGCATTTATTTATTTAATATACCTGAGAACTTAACATGATAGTGAGAGAAGCTGTACACACCTGTCGTGAGCTCCGTGTATGTTGGGGGGAGGGGTGGTGATTGACTGGGGGCGGGTGGGTCAAAATTAACAAAGGGAGGAGGGGGGTATGCATTAAAATGAACGGCTTGGGCCGCAGGGATGGAGGACATCGGCGCTTCATCCTCTGAAAATGATAGAAAACGATGGTTTTTCCTGAGAAAAAAATCTGTATGTTTATGCAATAGGTTGTGTTAATTTGGCCAACATTCAGTGTGTAATTGAGATGGAGGGTACGAATTCCCTGGTAGTCAAAATGCTGAGGTTTCAAAAATTCTAATTTTAGGTGACTAACATGTTCACACGGAACAAAAAACTGGTACACAGTTCAATGTCTTGTGTCTCCATCTGGACACATGACACAAGAGCACAAAATGTGTCCAAATAGTGCAATAATCAATATGAACTGTTTTTGGACTTGAGCAAATAGATAGATTTCACAGATTCATTATTTGTAAATTTTCTGAAGTTTATTTCTAAATTGTTTCTGTCCCAGAGTCACATTGATCCCCTCCTCCATCAGAATTCAAATTCAAGAAAGTGAAGAGTTTAATTTGATATTTACATTGCTTTGCGACGACGTTTTTTGTTCTTTTCGGTCTCCACATCTGACTGGAGGTCGGATGTTATTTCGGCTTCCCTCAATTTCCTCCGGCCCTCTTCATAGTTCTCTTTTTACAAAAAATTAAAAAAAAATATAAGCAGTTTTGCAGTCAACAGGCTAGAGATGTAAAACTCACTTGGAGAAAGTAGGAAAGCAAACTCCTAACATGAGAAGGAGTGCTAATAAGTCTACAATATAAATGTAATCTTCGGTGATACGTAACAATGGGCATTTAAAATTAAAAAGATGGTCTTTGGTCAGTGATGGTCTGTAAAGGGTGTAGTGTATTTGATCCTATCTTCATATCATCCTGACCTCTAGCAAATCTGTCCTCTGAGGAAATGTCTAAAGCTAAATATTTTCCACCCACTACATACTACTGCATTAACTTATTTGGCTTCCACAGGCAAAGAGGAATTACTTTTTGAAGTATTATTCCAACAAAACTAATACCACCCAAACATTTACATGTAAACATTCACAGGACAGGGAGGAATAAGTAAGTACACTGCTTGAATCTCTCTGAACTGCAGCAGTTTTGTAAAGAGGAGATTCATCCTAATCGTTGTGAGCGTCTAATCTGCAACTACAGGAAAGCACTTATTGCTGAAAAAGAAGGATCAGCAGCTATTTAATACAAGGGTTCACTAACATATTCCATGCTGTTGTGAATGTTTCAGGTCTTTCTGCAAAATATCTTGATAAACCTATTCATTATTTTTTCTATTGATGATAGCATGTTGTCCAGGCCCTGAGGAAACAAACAGCTCCTATACACGTGGCTATAAACTCACCACCAAGGGGTATAAACTTGTGTCACAGTGCCTGATGTTTGTTTATCTATCTGACAGTGACTATAATTGACCATGAACAGTGAAAAAAGGATGATGAATGTACCAGTTGTATATAGTACTCGCACGCGGTACTGCTCCCACGTTGGCTCCACAGGGGTCGCAGTACGAACTGCAAGGCTTAGTGCCGTGCCCCTCAAACCCGAGGGCCACGCACAATGACCATTGGTGACCCATACTGATGGCACCAACTCCACCTCCTTCGCCTCCAGAAATTCCACAATGGAATACATTTCTGCCCAAAAGAAAATACAATGGGTCAAACACTCGACAAATAACAAACTGTACATTCTATTTTATTTTATATAAAGCTATAGCTTTTATGATAGTACAAATCCCGGCCTACACTGTGTGAAGTGCTTTTGGAAGACCATGAAAAGCAATACAAATAAGCATCCATATTGTTAACCCTAACCTAAAGTAAGAAAAACTGTAGCAGCAGCACTGATCTTATCTGAGTAAATTCACGGGTGCTGATGAGGACTGATAAAGATATGGTGAGGACAGGCCAGTGTGATCGAAGACATGTGATCACACAGTTACAAACCATTGTTTTGTTGTCTGACTGTATATATTTTTGCTTGAATTACAATTTGCATTGAAAATAGTGGGTAATATTGCCAAAACAATGAATATATCTATTTTATTTTTCAATATCGATATTCCAATTTTTGCTCAGACATTGCAAAGAAGGTGTTGTTGGCCCGCGTCCTCAATGTATTTTCAATGTAAACCTGACGCTTTGGAGGCGTCGGAGGCGCCCGGTGTGAACACAGCATTACGCATGTAGTGTTAGAGCTCTCACTAGTGGATTGTAGGTGGTACTGCAGGTCATGTTTATACATCTGTTTGTAACCATACTGTAGCCTGCCTACATGTTTATTAATATACATTTTATTGTTTTTCTGTTTCAGATAACCACACACGCACCCGTACACACATACTTATACATTTACACACACACTGTGTCAAACCATCATCATCTCCATGTACCTGATCCATCCTCTTCAATAAATAATCTAAACTGCACCATCGAGAGGAAGACTCAGTTGACGAGCAATCCAAAACAGCATCAGCCGCACACGGTCTCTTACTGTACTGGATACAACCATTTAACTCCCCCAAAATGTATGCACTGCATTGTGACTGCACTTACTGGATGTTGATGCAAATCTCAAGGCAGATTGTTTTTAACTGGAGGTACACACATGGATTCAATTTTATTATATATTTTGATTATACACACCAACAGGAATTATCTTCTTGATTTATCTTGAACTATTTACAAGAAAGTTTAAGAGGCCAAACAATCCCCGACCCGAGGGGCCCAGTCGGTTTTATGGCGCCGACCACTCGCCAGTCACAGAGGAAGTACCAACAGCTTATTGTGCGCACTTTTTAGGGGCTAGCCGGATCGATCAAACCCCACGCACAGCCTCACCACTCTGCCGGATGCAGTTTAATGTCAATACCCAGGACGAGAGAAAGAAAAAATATGGCCTCTGAACCAACTAAAAAAGAAGTTCACAGAAAATTGATTGTGGGGACGGAGAATGAGAAGAGAGGGAATGAAATAAAAATTTGAAAAGTGGGGGTGGAGGTCAGAGAGAATGAATAATATAGAAGCTATTGTTTATGTGGAGGAAAAAGGAGTAGCGTTTAGGAGTTGAAGATAGAAAAATATAGGGGATGAGGTAAGAAGGGGATGGGGATGGAATGGGATGGAAGGGTAGGGCTTTAAGAGTTGTAGTAATGTTTAAGAAGGGGGGGTGAAGAGCTGTAGGATGTATGGGATTTGTTGGGTGGTGGGTGAAAATATAAATTGATGAGTTTAGTAAATAATTAGGAGGAGGGAATAGAGGGGAGGAGGTGGTGGTGTTAAATTGATGAGAAAGACAAGGCAGCGCGAACGCGATATGATGGTAAAAGTATAGAACTGTTGTGAAGTGCAGGTGTACAGAAGCGAAACAGACAATAGTGTCATTTACATGTTATAAGCTGCCTCCTGATGTGATGGAACGGGAGGTTTAATAGAAGAAGTTATTTTATCTTTAAATTTTTATAATAATATTTATGTAATAAGATATATAATAAAATATTATTTAAGAAATGTAGTAATTGTGATGAGAAAAATAGGAAAAACAGATACGAAAAAAAACATCAAGGATAGAAAGAGAAAAAAAATATACAAAATTGGATTAGAAAAGAAAAACTTGATGGAGTTATAATTTCGTACGGTATGGATTTTGAGTTATTGTGAGTGTTTAAACATGAAGGGGATATATGTAAGTTAGTGTAAGATAGATATAGATGATTGGGTGAGGGAGGGTATGAAAATTGGGAGGTCTAGTGCGTATAGGGGGTGGGGGGATGTTATGGTTGGGGGTTTTGGGGGGGGGGAGGGGGGGGGGGGTGTGTGGGAGTTGTGTGTGGGTGAGATTTGTGTTGTGAGTGTAGTGGTGGGTGGGGTGTTGTTGGGTTTGGGTTGATGAGGTGGGTTGGGTGTGGGTGGGTGTTGGTGGGGTTGTGGGGGGGGGGGGGGGGGGGGGGGGTGGGGGGGGTGTGTGGGGGGGGGGGTGTGTGTGGTTGTGTTGGTTTGTGGTGTGGTGGGTGGGGGTGTTGAAGTTTGGTTGTGAGTTTGGGGGGTTGGGTGGGGTTTTTTTTGTTGGTTGGGGTGTTTGTTGGTGTTGTGGTGTGTGTGGTTGGTGGTGGTGGTGTGTGTGTGGGTGGGGGGTTGGGGTGGTGTTGGTGTGGGGGTGGGGGTGTTGGGTGGGGGGGGGGGGGGGGGGGGTGTGGGGTTTTTTTGGGGTGTGGGTTGGGGGTGGGGGGGTGTTGTTGTGGGTGGGGTGGGGTGGTGGTTGTGGGGTGGGTGGGGTGTGGGGGTGTGTGTGTGTGTGGGTGGGGGGTTTGATGTGGTTTTGGGTTTTGGTGTTATGGTGTGGTTGTGTTTTTTGTGGTGTTTTGGTTTTGTTGTTGTTTTTTGTGTTTTGTGTTGTTGTGGTTTTGTTTTGTGGGTGTGGGTGTTTGTGGTTTGTGTGTGGTGGGTGTGGTTGTGGGGTTGGGTGGTGTGGTGTTGGGAGGGGGTTTGGGGTTGGTGGGGGGTGTGTGGGGGGTGGTGGTTGTTTTTTTGATTTGTGTGGTGTGTGGTGGGGTGGTTTTGGGGGTGTTGGGGGTATGGTTTTAGGGGGGGGTTGGTGTGTGTTGGTTGAGTGTTGGTTTTGGTTTGTGGTTGTGGTGGGGAGGGTGGTTGGTTGGTGTGTGTGGGGTGTGGGTGGGTGGGTGTGTGTGTGTTTTGGTTTGTTGGGGTTTGGGTTGGGATTGTCGTCATTGCGTCACATCAGCGTCGGCTAACATTATATTTTTAGATGCTAGGTATTTTTTCTCCTGCGTCAAAATGGAACTGAGAGATATTCAACTTTTCGTCACATGAAACAAGGCATAGCCTATGCTATGTTATCTAACGCTGGTTTAAAACTCAATTGAATATTAGTTTAGCGTTAATCGGACTAATTTCCATCCGCGGGAAATAAGGCACATGGTGTTTGCTAGCTTAGTTAAACAAGTTAACCATTTGAAAATAACTAAATAATTTATTTTCTCATTTTCCTTGGAAGTAACACAAGGCTACGCAATGTAAGCAAATAAGTATAATACAGCTCGGAAACTTGTGTTGAAACAATCGCGTCAAATACTACAGTTCCCATCATGCTTTTGCTTTGTCACGTGTCCTCCTCAAACAACAACAAGCACAGGCATGCCTGTGCTTTATTTAGCAAAGAGTTTGGTCTCGTTTCTCAAACGTAAATCTGGGCTGTGTACAGAGGACTGCGTGCTTCGGTATGTACAAACGACGCTGCGCGTGATTTGATTCATAGCGTAGTTAATGTTGTAGCGTAGCTTCTTCTGAGGCCAGTTTTCATTACTTTCATGACTGTCTTTCTTATATCGCTATGCACTCCACTAAACATGGCTGATACTTAGTTATTATTGCTTAACAAGTAGATACGTCTTTCCGTTTTTTTCGTTTGGAGACTGAAAATATATCCCAAAGCATTTATGTTCCCCCCGTGCAACTAAAATTGTATGAATTATTTGTGAATTTAGACAATTAAATAATAATTATGTGAACATTGTGAAATTAATCACAAGTAATGTAATGTTACAGACTTGTTTTCTCTTCTACCCGAAGCTGAAAACACACGTGAGTATGGCTCTCCGTTTTCAAATGGCATATATTTCGATTGTTTTAACGTTCTATCAGCGAAATTCATCCTGTGATTTGATAGGGGCTTAGATACATCGATATGTAGTGAAACAAACGCTGTGTAAACGACTTTTTAGTAAAAGTCGTTTACAGCTGGCGTGTGAGATGGACCAACATGCTATGTAACGCTACCAACAGTGATTCATTTTAAATATATAGTACTTTTTCAGTGAAGTGCATGCATAGGGATATTATTAAGTTTGACCCATAAGTTTGACCGCGTTTTCCTTGAAGCAACCGAGCGCGTTGATTTGGACTTAATGGTGCAAGCACTTAATGGTGCAAGCACTTAATGGTGCAAGCACTTAATGGTGCAAGCACTGACCTCACGGACGCTACTAAATTCTATACAAATATGAAATTACTTATTCAACTTTGTACCAACTCCTGGGTTCGAAATTAGATTTTGGGGAAAATGTTACGTACACGCGTAATGCATGAATGAATACGTGGTCATAATCCCTCCAGAAATGTATTAAGTTTCTCATATTTGCTCGTGGAAAGATAGTAACATTATGTACTAGTAGAAAAGAGAAATTACTTTTCATTTATGTGTGTGGGTTCTCATGCATGTAGCCTCATTATTAATAATTTTACATATGGTCTTATCTCTTGATTTCTAATGGTGAAAGTAATTTAATACCAATACAAAGTCAGAGATTTCCATAATTTAAATATGATAATTTTGTGTGGGTTTTTTTCAAACAGTATTTGACGTTATTACTTGGTAGTCATTTAACAACGTCTTCCCTTTTTCTCCCCAGACCCATCCTTGAGCCTTTATCTTTCGATATCTAATGGTGAAAGGAATTCAATACTTATACAAATTCAGAGATTTCCATCATTTTTCAAGTAAGATATTTTAGTGTGGGTTTTGATCTGTTTTTGATGTTATTATTTGGTAGTCATGTAACAACGTTTTCTCTTTCTCTCCCCAGACCCATCCTTGCACTTTTTGTTCACTTCCTCATTTACATCTACTTTTGATTAATAATCAAAATGGAGCATAAATGGGATGAAATGTTTCTCCTCCTCACAGAGAACATTTATCCTGAGGGAATGAATAAATTTCAAAGAGACAACTGGAGGAAGTACTCCCTTAAGTTTACAGTAAAGGGTAATAATGCATTTGCTAGTATGGTTATACATGTCTTATTCTTCTTCTGTTGTTTTCATATAAATTATTTTTTATAGATGGTGAGCTGTTCTATGGCAAAAGAAGAGCCATTAAAACCAGACATGAGGCGCAGAAACTATTTCAAGAGTTTCATGCTACGCCCATGGGAGGCCACACTGGGATGAAAAAAACCCGACATGCCATTTGTTCCAGGTTTTACTGGCGTGGCATGACTGTGATGATTGACAATTGGGTATGTGATATTATTTGTCTGTACAATTCCCTTCCCTAAAGCCTGTTCGTTTTAAGATTGCTGAGTGTGACCAATGTCAACGTGAGGGAAAGACTCTGGGTACAGTTGCACCACTCCAAACAATAAAGGTAATTGTATTGTTACTATTCAACCACCAATGTACATTTATGCATTACAATCCTGTTGGCATGTTAGGTGTCTGCTGTTTGGGAGCTGCTGGGGATTGACCTAACTGGGCCCTTCCCCAAAACTACTGATGGCTATCAGTACATATTTACAGCCACTGATTATTTTTCAAAGTGGGTAGAGGCTTTCCCATTGAAAACCAAGACGGCTGCGGAGGTTGGGCAAAGACTTTGCTCTATAATATACAGGCATGGGTGCCCGAAACGGATCCTGTCTGATCAAGGGCGGGATTTTGTAAATGAGGTGAATATTGCTTTTTGTAGTTGTTACTTTTTTTTGTTCATACTTTCTTATTCATTTAATTTTCATTGTTTTAGCTCAATGATTCTCTGTGCTCTCTGCTGGGCATTGAGAGAAGCGTCACCGCTGCGTACCACCCACAGACTAATGGGTTGGACGAAAAGACCAACCACAACATCAAGAGGCAAGAAAGATATGTATAATTTAATCATGTGAAGCACACATTAAATATATGACTGATGGCAAACCCTACATGTTTTAATTTCCCCCATTTAAACAATGTTCGGAATGTCTTTCTCAGAGCTTTGATGAAGTTGGTGAATGAGCAGCAGAACAACTGGGACACATTCCTTGATGCCACACTGTTCTCTTTGAGGTCAAAGGTGCACATCTCAACCAAACACACCCCATTCCAGTTGATGTATGGGCGGGAGGCTGTGTTCCCCTCAGAGGTGCCTGTAGATTATCCTGTAAGTTCCATTCGTTCAATTGTTGGGTTACACAGAGGGGGAAGAAGCTGGACAAGGTCATCAGTAAGTTCAGCTCAGTCATGGGCTGTTCCCAGTGCAGCAGGTGGGGGACCATGACTGTCACCCCCTGCAGGACACTCTGCTCTGGAGAGCAGCTTCAGTGAGAGCTATTCATCCTCTATGTGTGAAGAAGAGGTTGCACAGGTCTTTCCTTCCTGCCGCTGTCAGACTGTACTGTGAGAACTGCTGAGCCTGTACATGTCATCTCGTCTGTAAATAAGTAGTAAGTAAATACTGTAACAATCACATTTTCCCACTGTGGGACAAATTATACCTTATTTTATTTAGGAGACAATCATGGCACTTTCTTGACCCACCAATCAAAGCTTTTGGAGGATTTGAAGAAGGGAAAAATAGCAGATTCACCAGGTAGGGATAGTAATGTCAGTAATATTTGTTACTTTGCATCTAACGTTTTTCCAATGCTTTTAGGACACTGCCAAATGTGACAGCTACACACCAATGGAACTTGAGAGTGAGAAGGCGCTTGACATACAAACAGAACAGGTATGTCTAGTAGTAAATATTACAATTTATTGTATTTTCATTATAAATTAAAACTTTTGTGTTTCCTTAGAGCAATGAGGTAGGAGGGAGTTTTTACATGGAAAAAGTCTTGAAGCGGACTATAGTGTCACTGATTGTCACACGCAAGTCAAAACATTTCTCTTGTAACCAAATTCATTGTTTTCTCAGGGTATGCCCCATTGTACAAAGAAGAGCTAAATGAACAACTGATTGCCTAAAGATGTGCAGAAACCCGTCTCCGAGCACCAGACATCACAGCTGAAGCGTTATTCTTTGTAATAATTAAGAATACAAATCCTGTTAACATTGAAACTTTTTTTTGCAGGCTTTTTTGGGCAGGAATGCACTTGAATGAAAATGTCAAACGTGGGCAAGATTCTTCAAAGGGGCAGTCTTTATTCAAAGTTCCAACCCAAAGTACAACAAAGGAAAGCAAACAGCAAAGCCAACACTTGGTAAAGAAATAATACTGTACAAACATTACAGTACAATAACTTAATAATATATTATTACAGAGGCTGACCAGGACAGAAAGCCAACGCACTGGCCTTCAGGATCTGTGAACTCTTCGCGTATCCTGAGCACATCACATGCAGGAATGACCTGGCTCCCAGTCGTCCCGAGCACCAGCTAACCAACTCCACAAATCTGAGACTCCTGTGGAATTGGACACGTATGTTAATTATTGTAATTTGCTGTTTGCGTAGTGTACTGAAATGTTTTGTCCCTTTGTCTGTTTCATGGTGTGACGACGAGACCATTTGCACCTGCAAATGAATTGATTTCTGAAAATGAAGTCTCCACGCTCTTTCAACATTATCAATATATTTATTTGACAGGGACAATGCAGACACAGTCATAAACAAAGCTTGCAGCTGATGTGATGAATGTAGTTTATAGCAGATGCCAATTCACAACTCCTGTCCCTGGTTGGGCCTAACCAATCAAAGTCAATACAATTCCTACATTTCTAAAAATACACTTAGTTTACAGCCTACAGACTTGATTGATCCACACAAAAAAACTACAAACGTGTTTTCTCTTGTATTTAAAGCTTGACATCAATGCGGGAACTTTACATCCTTCAGCAGGAAAATCTACACAAATTCAATTCAATACCACAGCCCATTTTTTATGCACAACCTAACATAAAACCCATGAAAAAACCTTTGATTGGTTCCAATTTAAATGTTACTCACCAGTGTTGTTCATTTCTTTAATAGAAAGGATGCACCCGATCTTTCATCTGGGAAACTAGTCAAAATTCATCAATCCACGAATGAATTACATTTCAAAGGACAACATGGCCATGGCATGTAATCTCTGTGGTTACTGGTGATAATAATCCTGTGGTTGTTGTCATGGATCAGCTGCAGCAGAGTCTTGACAGTAAAAGTTGCACTATATATCCAAATGGCCATATTTTTTTTTTTGCAACTTCGAATTCATCCCATGAAAATTATTAACTGAACTGACAGAAAAGTGTGCAGTCCACAAGCTGTGCTGCTGCAGGTGATCGCTGCATTAAATTAAATTTATTATTTCCATTATCAACATTCATCCAGTTGTAAGCTGTAGAGTTGCCACAGGACGCTTCATCAGCCTACGTCAGCTGCCAGGACTGCTATCATAACATAAGCATAGTGGTTTCATAGGTGCAGTTGACTGCTTAAACTAAACTTTACCCGAAAGTTTGACTCTTAAACCCACATGTGCCAACACGGAACCATCAACATCTCGCCTCAAATTGCATTAAAAGTGACATTCGTGTCTTATTTCGTTCGTATTATAACTTTTAAAGGAATTCACGGACTTTCTGTCCGCCATCTTGGTTTGTTTCGGCTGCCGTGAGACGCGCATGCGCGCAGGTTTGCATTACATCATTAACAGCTGAGCATTACATAAGCGTCACTTTTTGGCAGAGGCGTTACAACTCGGCAGAACACCGGCACAAAATGAAGATCCTGGTCGTTTGTTCTTCCTCTGATGAAGAACCTGTGGATGTCTCTATTGTTCTCGACAGCAAGGAGATTGTGACTGGATGTGGAAATACTGCAAAGGCATGTGCACTGCTAATGGGTCTAATATATTCCCTCAATCTTGCTTATCCTACAACACTACGATACACCTTCGAAGTATTTCAGAAGATTTTCTTACATTTAGATGCATTTAAGCCATCCCCGAAAATACAAACACTGAAAGTCAAGCTACTGTCCAAAACATAAGAGAAGCAATTTTGTTCAGCATAAGAGAAAAGGCCACAGATTTTATATAATTTGATGTTGTTACTTTAGCTTAGACTCTAGCTTAGACTAGAATATGAAAATTAGTCATTAAAACATGGACATGTTAAATTAATTGACTATTCTTGAATCTAGTAACTCCTCATGTAACAGTGTTTTAATTAGGGAAAATGTGAAAGAGCTCGGCCACTTCTAAAATTACCTCGGTCTGGAGCCATTGAGATTTACTGCGAGAGGCTAATGCTACAACATCCTGGTCTTTAGCTGAACAGAGGCTCAAAGACCAGGCAGGTGCATCATCTCATCTAAGCTAATGACATTTAATTATAGAAAATCAATGGCCTATCTCTATACCATTCCCATTGCATCCTTTTTGTGATAATTAAGTTTTCTGTTGTCATGTGTTCTGCTTTTAAGGTCAGCTTTAGTTCATCTTTTAGTTTTCATTGTTGATGTGTGAACTTAAAAGTTTGTCAATAAAACAGGTTGTTAAATGTTGATATTTGCATATTGTTTTTTCTTATTAATTCAATAATAATGTAATTGTTACACACATATAGTACTTAATAAGTATTATTGCAATGATATGAAATATACTGATAAAATATAAATAACATTTATTCAAGTTATCCATTATTGTAAATGATCTGTACACATAATGGTTACTCAGTATATCTATTTCACACATAAATAACCAAAAAAAAATCACATAAACCTTACTTGATTATTTTATGTGATCAAGTAAAAAAAATCACATTTGTTAAGTAAGGTTTACTTACAAATAACATTCAGATTATACTTGATGAAATAAAAAGTTTTACTTGATTTATAGTAGTAATCTTTAATTATATCTTCGTGCAAATACTTACGAGGATTTTTTAAGTAAATGTTAATCACGATTTTTTTCAGTGTATAACGTAAACTTTTGCATCACGTTGGTGATCTTTCCAAAAAGAGAGAATATCGTTATGGAAAGAGAAACTATTGGTAATATAACGCTGAACGTTATTTGACTCAAACAGCTTGGAACAATTGGATTACAAAATTTGGACATCATTTGGAACAATCTGGATTTCTGAATTTGGACATCATTTGGAACAATCT